TATATATATATATATATATATATATATATATATATATACATAAAAGGGACAAAGCTCTCGGCGTTGATCAATCCCTGAGGAGTGCACCATGCATTCTACTTTATCGAATATCGTTTGGAGGTGAATGAATGCATATCTGGCGTTTACAATGACTCGCAGTGGCCTGCCGATGTATAGAGCCAGTGCTACTACCCTTCCAGACAAGTCTGGTACCAATTTGCCGACCCCTGAGGGATGGAAGACTTGGTGGACCACGAGCGCGGAGATCAATTCCAGCTGTGTATCGTAGTGGTGCTTCCAACCACTGCGCCACATATATACATATTTACATATATATGTACATATACATATATGGTAAACGTGCAGGAGTAGCCTAATAAATACACGTATATGTATCACCTCTATCATCAATTGTCCCGTTTATCACCGAGTGACTCAAGTGAGCGGCTTTAAACCTTCCATTTTTCAGTGCCGCGTGCAGGAATAGCTCAGTTTTGCTTTCGCTTTTTGCTCGGTTTTCTCGCTGTAAGGACTCGTTAAGCATCATATCTTTTTCTTAGGGCTTTCCGTGAAAAACTCCGCCACCCGGTCAGTGGCCTTTCTGCTGTGCGTTTGACAACCCGAGAAATCCATTCACTAACGGCTGTTGACCATCGGTTGTCGTTAATACGCATTACGTGTCCGGCCTACCTTATCATTGATAATCTGGCAAATAGAAAGGCATCTTCCATTTCTGATCGTTCGCGTAGGTCAGAGCTTCAGATACTCTATCACTTGCGTGATACGTGGTGATCTTGGCACGGCTCTTCCGACCACTGTCTAACCTTTCATCATACTTACGCAGCGACCAGGTTTCTGACGCATGCGTTAAGGCAGGAGAGATGGTGGAATTAGAAAGTTAGGTAGGGGCCGGGCCTTCTTTGTTTCCTTCACTACATCCTCAATGCTCTTGAAAGCTCCTCAAGCCGCTCTTTTTTTCCTTGTTAACTTTAGAGCTAACTTGCCCGTCGTGTTGATTTCCAGACTGAGTGGGACATACGTAACCAATCCGTTCCTCATGAGCTTCGTTTTTGTGAGATTTCCTCGAAGACCAATTTTTCCACAAGCGTTTTCAAAATCGGAAAGCATTCGTTTCTCTGGCTAATGTTTGGTGATAAAAGAACGATGTCATCAAGAAAGAGAAGTTGGTGTAATTGCTGACCATCGATTTTCACTCTCATATTATCCCATTCTAATGTTCGCATGACGTTTTGGAGGGTGGCGGTAAATAATTTTGGCCAGATGGTATCGCCTTGCCTAACCCCTCTTTTGACGTTAATGTTAATATCGTTGTAGAATGGTGACATCTTGGGTGTGAAATTTTTGTACAGCTCACGAAGAATCTTTAAGCTCTGAGTAAGGACTCCTTGACTATCAATGGGTTCCATGACTGCTTCTATCTCAATTGAATCGAAAGCCTTCTGTAAATCGATGGAGGCGAGACAACGGTCTTTTGTACTCTCGCGATACTTCAATGAGTCATGTTATCACGTGGGTGTGGTCTATCATATTGAATAGACCTTTTCGAATTGAATAGAAAAGGCCCTTTCGAAACCGTGCTTACTCAAGTGGCTGTCATTCGTCTAGTGTTCTGTTTAAAATGACTCGAGTAGAAATTTTGTAAGCGACAGACAGTGGGCAGATTGGTGATAGATTGTGACCCCGATGTCGTAAGGGTCACAGTTCTCGAACAAAGCCACATCTATAAATAACGGAGGTAGAGAATAAAAAAAGTGAAAAAATTTGTGGAGGCAACATTTCGGGTAAGAAAGGCCTATCTTGGTATCTATCCATCAGAGTTTCGTATTTTTCAACACTAATGTTCCCTCAGAGAAAATGTTTTCAGGGTCATGACGATGTTCAGCAGTCATTTTTTCTCGCAGAAACACTAAAATATGCGTATTTGACATTCACTGACAAGTCGGTGATTTCACTCGATCAATGGGTATTCAACACTGAAGCGCATCCACTACCTATTATGGGTAGGATGCGGGATTGATGAACTATATTCGCCATAGCATTAAAGGACTGAAGGGCCCGATGCCTACTTGCATTGTTTCTACTGTAATGAATTGAATTGTTGCCGCTTCATTAGGGAATTTGCTTTGGAATTGTTTAGAAATGAGTACTACATTAACTTTTCTGAAAATCATGTGCTCTCAACTCTTATATCTTTGTGAAGAATTCAATAGGTCGAGAGCAATCCATGCTAAGTTTTGGGTATTCTCAGTTTTTTTTACCCTAATATTTGTAAAAAGTGAAGGATTTTCTATTGTTTTAGGTAAGATGACGAGTTCTGGTATTATCGTTTTCTAGTCATACCAAGAAAGTTCAGTTATATCACCTTAAAAGCTCGGAAATTACCACTACTTCTGTAGCTACCAAGCTTGTACAGCAGGCACCATCGTGGTCGTTTTCTAGTACTTCTTGGGAGGCCATAGCATCTATTTTCAGAATTACTCCATTCTTTTCGTTCTTGTTGTCAGGACAGTTTTTTGCTTTTTCTTAAACGTCGAGGTGAAGCCGAAAAAGAGTACAAGGTATTTCACGAAATTATGGAAATATCCATGGTATAGTTTCCCGGTTTCCTTTCAAAATTGCCAAAATCACTACAACTACGGCTGCTTAGGTAGTTAGGTAATTCTAAATCTATTGCTATTTATCATTGGATAGTTCTGGAAACGCTTGTTAGAATGCACCTCATTTATTTCGTTTGGTTTTTCTATAGCTTTCTTTAGCCCTTCATTGGTGTTTAGTATAGATTGCTGTAGTATAGAATTTATTTCAGAGGTTATTCGATGCGGGTTGGTAGACTTCGTTCCTTGATTTTCTGCCATTTGGCTTTTGATTGTGATATATTTGCATGCGAGTTTTTCTAATTGTAGGGTTACGGTGTTCCTTTTACTGTGATTTTTATTTCTTGAATAAACGGTCTGCGGACGAGTTTGCACTTGTGTTGTGCATGTTGTTACCTATTCGCTCATGATTGATTTGTTTGACTCCCATTCACCATTCTACTTGCCAACATAAATCAAGGCGCTCCACATTTCTTTATATTTTTCTGAAGTTCATGTCCAACTATGATGGTTCGAAAAGGGAATGTTGAAATCAGTAGGTCGCGTGAACGGTCTGAAATGAAATCCTTCGGTCTAGATGGGATTCAATGGAATGCTTTTTGTACGTGAATCAAGCTTGGCTTGACAAAGGCTTCGTTAGTGACAACTGGCTATGTGATGGAATTTCATACATTTGCTTGCATAATTAACAAACAAAATGGCTGACAACGGCTCATACGTGAATGAAAGTTTTACTATTATTTGTTATTGTTTTATTTGCAAAGCTCCTGTCCGCAGGTATCTGTGGTGGGGAACGAGCGTGTACCTACCTTTCCCGGGTGTTAACGCGTTCATCACCACACTATGCCACTCCTTCGTTTCGCCTGTCTATCAACCAGTTCTATCGATCAGCCTCATCAGCAGTCGCACGTCAACGGGATTGATCTAGGAAGCCAAAATGCACCCAGTTAAGCTGAGGGTGTAGTCGAGATCACAGTGCTAATTTTTTATTTACTACCTACTACAATTTTTTCAAGCCAAGGTATTACGTGTGATGGAACGACCATGATACTGAGATATTTGTTGCTATAACGATGATATGGCACTGATCGATAGAATTAGCTGAGAGACAGGCGAAACCAAGAACCCGGATGGCGTGGTGGTGAAAGCGCTAGCCCCCGGAAAGGGTAATAGCGCATTTGTCCCTCACTGTAGTCACCTGTGGTCTGAGTTTCGCAAATATCGCAGCATCATTGTGCTTGTATCACACGTAATACACTGCCTTAAAAAAATTGAAATACGCTGTAAATAAAAAGTCAATATTATTGATGCTATTCTTACCAGATGAGCCGACGTCAGTCATGCTGTGCAGGCCTTAGCACTTCCTGCATTCGATTCGCATTCCCGCATTCACCATCCACGAAGGTCTTCGAACTTTTTTTCGTGTGAGTTTGGCTACTGGTTGAGAATTTCTTCGCGTTTACGATGAATGTCAGTGATTGGTGATCGAATCGATTCTCCCTGGAATCCTGAGATTGCTGTGTTCGACCGTTCCCACGTGAAATAGAGTGGATAAACTTGTCTTACACATGTCTGGTACCAATTTCCGGGTCTCAGATGAATGAAACCTGGTGGGCGTTGCGTGATGTCGAACCAGCGCCTGTGTACGTTGGTCTTCTCATAATGAATGGAATCACCACCATTACATTACCCACTCCATGTGACTATGAGTAAGTGAAATTTCCTATTTTAAATGAGCATACCTCGGCTCATTGCAAGCATTACTGAGATAAAAATCCGTAAGAATTACTGGTCTTTACCAACAGAGCACATGTGGTCTTATGCTACTGTGATGATCTTAGTATTCTGAACCCCAAAAATCTCTTACGCCCTTAATCGCTTTTCTTCCTTGGCGCCCGTATTACTGAGTTGCTAAGCGATTGAAAGAACAGGATATCTTAAAAGCCGACTTTCAGTAAAGCTCAGTCACAACAATGAAAAATTTTCTGTATAACTGAAAGAATAACAACATTGCGAGAACCATCGCTTGTGAAACATCAACTGCGGTCAACACAGCTGTCATGGAGACCAGTACGTCAAAACGTTATCCAATTAAAAGTCTTTATACGAGCATCATGTTAGCTCAATCGTGCAAAATATTATTAAGCCGGATATCGCTTATTACGAAACTGTGATATTCCTGAATACTTTGTTAAAATTTTCCGTGACCGTGATTCCGTAGAAAGGTTGAAGAAAATGAAGATTATTGTTTTTGAGGAGTGCAAGCAGCCCAGTGGTTAGTGGTGCCTCGCACTGCACGCGTGGTTTTTGGTTTGATACCAAGTCACAGACTAACCAAGCCTTCCATCTCTTTAGCGTCGACGTATTGGCAGTATAATGGCGTAGAAGTAGAAAAAACTGGCGGCATATCCTTAAAAGGCATTGTACGTGCCCTATACTCATTGCATGACCTCCACGTTGCATGAAGAAGTGGAGTGCAGGATGCACCCCTCACAGTATGGTCACCGGCTAACCTCCTACCTTTATTCTTTCTTTAAATTTTATAGTAACTATTTCTTAAATACAACTTTAACGTTGCTGAGATATTTGCAAAACTCTGGACCGCAGGAGTCTATGGTGGGGAACGAACGCGCTATTGTCCTTTCCGGGGAGTAACGCGTTCACCACCACACCATGCGGATCCTTTGTTTCGCCTGTCTCTCAGCTATCTCTTAGCTATGTCTCCTATAAAAAGCTATTTCTTAAATAGTTCCTATTTTCTATAATATCACATGTTTCCTACACTAACTCTTTGCTTATAACTATCTTAAATCTATCCATTTATAATGTATAAGTCCTTAGACCGTTTCCACATGTACTTCCAGTGGAAGCCTTTGTACAAGCTATTTCATCTCCTTCACACGACCCTTTGATAAGCTTTTGCGTTGTTTTTATATAACCTTTCTATACGAGCTATTCCCTCGCTATCTGATCAAGTTCTATGATGACCAAGTCTCTGGCATACCGTCTTATCTGATGTACTTTTCCTCATGTACTGTGTCGTGCCTTGAATCAGCACTATCTCTAACTCCCTTTGTAAACCCCACCTATTACAGACAAAATAGGAAGAGCTCCAGTAGTCTTTGAGACGAGTGTCTGCCTTTCAAGCTACCAGTGCTCCAACTCCAGGGTTCGCCTAGCTTCCTTCAAGTGCACATGTTCCCATTTCAATCTAGCTCGTATCCACCCAGCTCACACATCGTCAAATATCACACATTCTTATTGTATCGTTATTGTTGCTATAAACCGTTATATCCAAACTCGAGGTTGTTCAAGACAGTTACGGAGAAAAGTCCCGCGTGGCGAATTCATGCAAAGTCGAGCATTCCACGTACAGTTGGCGGACAAAAGACCAATCCGACGAACTCCCTAATCCATTAGCCAACTAACACAAATTTTTAAAAAGTTTTTTTTTGTATAAATTCGACATATCCACGAAAAGTCGACTTTCCGCGAGCAGGTGATAACTTGTTCATTAATGGTGTATTGGAGTGGTTTACAAAGTTAGCAAATACCGTTATGGAAAAGACTGCTCTATCGCACTAGACATACATATATATATATATATATATGCAATATATATATATACATATATATATATAGTTAAATAGATATATGCATATATATATATATATGTATACACGTACGTATATATACAAGAAAACAATTAAACATAACTTTTCTAATTTTCTTAAAACGTTCTTTGAACTTCAAATTTACAGGGAGCGAAAATTTCCGGAATATTAAAAGCAAATTTTAAATTACTCACGTAAGTGCGGTAGCGGCTGATACTAGCATTGGGGACCGCCATCACATTGTGCAGAAAGTGCCCGGGTCTGAAATCTTGTCCTAGACTCAAAAAATGAGGGATAAACATGTTTTGCTGTCTCTACAAATTAAAGGGTGTTTCTCGGCAAAACAAGAGAAATGTACCTGGTTGACAAAGATGTGCGGTTTCTAACTTTTCGTCGGAACAGACAGCACTCATTATGAGCTGAGGTATGTCGCCTTAAAGTTAGAAAACGTCGTTGTTTTTGCACCATATGGGAATTTGTCGTCATAAGTGTGGTATAACAATCTTTAGGAAAGCTAGGTATATATTTGAGAGACAGATTTAAAAAACGACTTTATTTCCGTGTTCATGGACGCTTTCGTTGCTTGACTACCGTTCGTGGTGCAAACTACCTAGTATTATCTGGTTCACTGCTTTCGCTAGTAGTTCGTCTTGTACGGTATAGATTTAAAAGGTTCTTACGCCCACATACGTTAATACGAGTTCAAGTTTAAGAAGTTCCTTGAAAGGACTGTTCTACCTTGTCGATAATTTTTTGGTCTAATCAATTTACATACGAAGAATATGCTTTTTTGGTCTAGATTTAAGGGAGGCTCTCGAGCTTCGTCGCAGCTCTGCCTACTCCACCGGAAATATCGGCAGCAATCACGGTTATCACGCTGTTCACTTGGGTTCACTTGGATATTGCTCCTGCGCTCGTCATATTGTTATCGCTGCTTCACTTTTTCTAACAGAGCTCAGTTTTCGAGGTTTTAGTCATTCTCATTGATTATTAGGTGATATAAACGTTACATTCATAACACATGACTTGTATTAATCACTGTAAAATAACATGTGGATTGCTCCTTTAATAATCACTGGTCTATTAAAACTCTTTTCAATCTAATGAATACCTTCCATAATTTTCGTCTCCTTATAGTCGATAAGACAGATTTATTGATGTACTGTTTACGTAAAGGTTTAACTACCCAAGTGTTCCATACAGCTGCAGCAAAACAGCAAAACCGCTGCAGTGCATGAAGGAGATTGCTAGGATCTCCAATGTTTGGCTTTGCTGTCAAAACTGCCTTTGGTGACGGTAGGTAATGGGTCATATTGACTTGATATCAATTATTTATTAGAGAGAACTTCTAAAAATTTTAGAAGTTGGTGCATGTTAAAGGGTTTGTTTGACGCGATGGCCTTTTTCTTGAGCACTCTGTGTTGGGTTGGACGATGATGGGAGATTGCGGCAATATCTTTTAATACATACACTGATTATACCCATTTTTTTATTAATCGATTAGTTAACGTGTGATTTCCTACATTTTCAGCCACCTGAACCTTTCCGCCCACTTTCCAATGATAGATAGTCATAGCCCCGCACTATCATTATATTAAAAGTTGTTCTCATATACACATACTTATAGGACTTGATACTTAAATGGCCCGTTCTCACTGGTTGTACGGGCTCTAGCATAGTGTTCATTTTTTTTGGAGATTGGCTGGCTAAGCCATTGCGCTTTCCTAGAATCCCGAGGTCGGCCTGGCCGAAGTCTGCCCCAGGTCTTCACCACCACAGGGAGTCGAAGCCGTCGTGGATCAGAGGGAGATTTGCCACCATGCAACTTTGATACCAGGGCGATGGCGGATTCTGGTATTGGTTTACTCTTAGTTAGGCTTCCTGATGGAAACGCCGGACTCCTTTTCAGCTTGGGAGACCATTCCAGGAAGACGAATCCTCCTGCTGTACATCGAAGTCCGACACCCAGGAACACCCCCCAGCCACGGTGAGGAGGTAAAGCGTTGGGAGGGTGTGCTAAATTTGAGGAGGAGAAATGAAAAGTTGAAGTACTGTTGAATCCACGTTTTTCAGGCCAACATCTCCTGTTCGAGATTAAGAAAATCCAGTGGGCAGTATATGCCCTTCAAGAACTACAACCAGTAATGTCATTATTTAGCACTTTTTTCTATTGATGAACTGTTTGTACTGTTGATGAACCTCATTGTGAATATTGTAAATTTCGCTTCTTATTTTCTTGATTATTGTACTAAAAGTCGATGTTCCTGTTCTAGGCTGATCTAATAGTTGTCGCAGCCGATGGACTTTTATTTTTTTTTTCTTTCTTGAACGGTGTGTAGGTATAACCTGCAGTCAAATAGTTGTGGGAATAATTAGAGAGCAGCTTGGACTAAACGTTGTGCTTAGGCATATGTGGCCTAATTAGAATAATTCTCTCCCTTCAACGTAGTTTTCACAATTCTATACTGTTATTGCCTTAGTGGTATTTATTCATATCAATCTTATTGGATAAAAGTAATTGGGGTGAGCAAGTTCATGTCATTTTTTACTTTTAAATCCAGACCGAGTGGTCGGATTGAGCTTGACATGCAGTCAGTTAAGCGATGTTCGTGCTATCATCGTTCTTTTCGTGACGTCTTCCTATTGTATTGCACTTACTTCTCTTCCAGTTTTTTCAACGCTATTTCGAAAAGCTAGACAAGGATTGTCGGATAATGAAGAGAGAGAGCTAGAAAAAGCAAGCTTTGCCAAACCCATCGGGCCCTTAACGAAGGTATAGAAAGTTTTATGAACATTGCCTGTGTGAGGTCTTTTATTTCGCTAGAGAACATCCGATTTATGTAGTAAAATTTAGCCTGCAGCGAAAAAGGGTGGCCAGAATGCAGCAGTGGTAAGTGGAAGCAGAGAAGCCAAGTCGGAAATTGCTCAAGCTCAATCACTGTGAGTTTCAGCTACTTTAATTCCAGGAACTGGGACAATAATAATCCTCACTACCTGCTATATTTTTCTAGGAAGTCCGTGAAAAGTGCCATCGAATTTAAATCGGAAGCAGCATCGCCACCGAATTGGGCGAGACCTGTTGAAATTAATTCAAGCAAAAGTACAGTGAACAGTTTTGTTGTGTCCGCAGCGAGAAGGAAAGCTTCGGGGAGGTTCTAAACTTTTCGTAGTGTTCATGAACTCTGTGCTTTACACGTTCTCCAAGAAGTTTCTCCAAATTGTCTCTTAACTGGTTTGTACTTTACTCATCAACGACACTCCCGGATATAAGAGAGGGAGCTCTGTTCTTTCCTGTGTATTGGACGCTGTACAGCTCAGTATTTCGCCTTTAAATTAGCTCGTAATTACTCCATGAACTGTCGAACTAGATATATTAGAGCTTACGAAAAATTGGATGTTTTTGGTTTATCTTTCTTTGCAGTGATGAGTCGATTGCTGAGCGATCAAAGTCAAGTCTGAGTACGGCATTACTCTTGGACAATTCCGCATAAACGCTACTAAAGTGAGTAGTTCTAGGTCGAATTCGGCAACTAAGTGAGCGTGCTGTGCGAAGAGTGAAAACGTTTGTTAGTCGTCCGATCAAGGAGACAACTATGCTACGGTTTGTCAGCAAAGTCGAGGCAAAAAAACAAGCTGAGGAGTCAGGCAGGATTTCGGTGAGCTCATTGCAACTAAGTGATTCCGAGAAATGGCAGCCATTTCGAAATCGGCCCAGCAGTAGTTCTTTGTCTGAGTTCAAAACGCATGATCCATTATGATCGTGATTTTTGCTTGTTTTTTTGCACACGGTTTCACCATGAAGTGGCTGGAGAAAGTTTCGGTCTCGAACACTTTCTGAACTATTTCTAGCAGAAGAACTCATCGAAGAGTTCGTGGGATAATCGGTAGAAAAAAGGACTTCCCAGTTTGATGGACGACTGGTGTCGATAGTGTGACGTGTCGCTGCATAATATCGTCGAGAACGATTTGTTTGCTTCTGTTTATCACGGAGGAGACCACCTGACTACGTACCTGCTTTTTGACTTAACGACTCTTCTGCCTTAATGCATGCGTCAAACACCTGGTCATTATGCAAGCAGGATGAAAGAACATTCAGCATTATAGAATGTGTAATCGAGCGGACGATGCTAGGAGTATCTCGTGCCGTTGTGTCGAAAAGTTTTGGAGAGCAGATGATAGGCTGAACACGTGGTGCGTCTGAACGATAACCGATGGACATGAGCCATCAACGACTTCAATTCCAAATGCATAGCTGGAAGCTGCAGATCCTATAGTCTAACTTCTTCATGAAAGTCCTAGAATGAAGATATGATGCTCAGTGAGTCTCTAGAGCAAGAAGAATCCATGAGACAGGGAGAAATGAAAGGTTTACTGGCGCCCGCTCGAGTTACTCGAGGGTCAACTGTGGAACAGCTGCTACTTCTCTACCACAATAGTCTCACACGGATTCAATACACTGTGATGGATCAGACCGGCAGCAAACCACCAAACGATCAGTTTAACTTTTTCTTGTGCATTTTCTGCTTTGGGAAATGTTGCGGAGCTTCATTGCGGTCCAGACACTGTGCCGACCGTCACCAGTTGTCGTATAAGATCCTATTCTCGTTACGCGTCACAATGTAGTTAAACAACGGTCGTTTCGCTTGCACAGAATCACCGACCATACCTCAAAACAGTGATCTCTTTTGCAGTGATTCAATTTGAGCAACATTCATTTGCTGGAGTCTTCGGCTTTTCAACTTTCTTTTAATAATCTGAAACAGTTGAGATACTTACACCAAGCTCTTTTAAGACTTCCTAATCACTCATGCCTCTATTTGCTCTCACCATTTCCTTCTAATCATCATCATTATTAGCAGAGGGACCTACGCCCTTCATGTTCAAGGTCGAATTCACCACAACGAATTCTTTCAAAACAACGCTGCAAAGTATTTTCACTAAAGATTGCTTTGCTCCACACCTCATATATTTTTGCAGCTGTTTGCGCTGTGCACGCTTAAGTTTGATTTCGTAGAAGCAGATTTGTCGAACGAGAGGGTGTAGCCGGTCCTCGGAGGCGCCATGCAAAACAGATGGGATCGATCCTCGCGTCCCGGGCCCACCCAATCCTCCGTCCCTCCGGGGTCGGCAAATTGGTACCAGGCTTGCCGTCTGGGAGGATAGCAGCACTGGCTTGATGCATCGATAGGCAACCGCGAGTAATTGTGCAGGATAGATATGCATCCATTCACCTCCAATAATGCTTAATGAAGTCGAATACATGGCTCGTCCCTCAAGGATAGATCAATGCCCAGAGTTTCCTTTAGCTTTAGATTCGTCGGAATCACTGTTTTGACATTTAAAATTCTAACCTTTAAAATTTGTCAAAAAGTCGGCTTTATTATAATTCAGCCACAAGGAGCTAAAGTGCGTCAAATGATTTTCACAGTGGTCTATAATAGAACAGTTTCCGAAAGAAAAAACTATTGCTAATGAAATACAGGGGTTACAGCAAAAAAAATGATCAAATAATTTTTCGAGTACTTGAAAAATCTAGACTTGTAAGTAAATATTCATACTCGAAATGCCATATATACACTGTATGATTTCTTCAACTTAACAATGTGTGGTGAAGTTTACGAAATGTGAATAAGAAATGTTTTTGATCTAACTAAAATACGTTTTGCTAGAGTACTGCATACCGTACTGAGATAACCCGCATTAAAGTGGGCTACGATTTTTAATTCTTAATTTTGTGTAAATCTGTATAATTTTATAGGCACGCGAAATGAAGCTTGGCGATGATCCATTCCCTAAGCCGAAGTTACGAACCTCGAAGAGCCGTGAGATCACTTCAGAGGCGAGTTCGCATCTCGTTGACTGCTTTACTTGCGAAGATTTCCCTAATATATACTGCAATATTACGAAAATGATAGAGTTAAGGTGATCACACTTTCAGCATTATGCAAGAGATGGGCCCGACTTACATCAACTCAAGGTACAAGCTTTAAAGGATACAGGAAAATTCTTATTTCTAAGAGGAAGTCATATTTGTTGGTTTCAGAGTGTTCCTCAAATGCCAACGAGCTACCGCTATGGTGATTTACCAAGCGGTTGTCAACTCGTGCTTGGTAACAAGAACAACAAAGGAAAATTGATTATCGACGATAAGCCATTCTGGACGGAGCAGCGCAAACCAACAGATGAAGACTTGGTATGGGTTTCGCTACACCGTCTTCTCATAACAATCGATTTGCAATGATATCCTTTCGTTTCCCTTTATAAACCTTTTTGCTAGGGCCCGTGAATCTTCAGAAGCTGATCTTTGCCAGTAAAGAGAAAAGAGCTGATTGTTATGGCTTCAATGCTTGAATTAAGAATGATGAGAACGCAGTGTTACTTCCAGTTTATTGCTAATTTGCTGGTTAGGCAGAATTATTTTCACCTGGAGCCTAGAAATATGCTTTCTTAAGTCGTCTCTATAGTCGATCTTCAGCGTTTGTGGATTGGAACGAGATTTACAACTTTGCAGTTAGACTGCTACAACGCCGGCAACGATTCGCGTCATTTCTTAAGTAATCGTCTCTCCAAATATAAATATATGTCGAAATCCTCAACTTGTGATATCCTCCCACAGTCTAATACTCAGAAACACTTCTCGCTCCCATTTAACAGTAAACCACGAGGAACAGTTGTTAAGTCCACATTTGCCAATGATAATGAAGTTATTCATAGTTCACTTACAAATCCTCTGGCTCTCTGTGAATAAGCGCTTTTCCAGCCTTTTCGTAATGTACTAGAGCCAGTTTCAATAGAGCCCTTTTGAGAAATATAAGCACATTGCATAAAAAGGACAAAGCTCTCGGCGCTCATCAATCCCTGAGTGATGCGCCATGCATTCGACTTCATTAAGCATCGTTTGGATATGATTACATATCTGGCCTTTATGGCTTACCGATGCATCGAGCCAGTGCTGCTATCCTTCCTGACAAGTCTGGTACTAATTTGTCGGCCCCAGAAAAATGGAAAGCGTGGTGGGCCATGGGCGCAGAAATCGATTCCACGTGTGTGTTGCAGGGCGCCTCCAACCACTGCGCCTCACGCACCCTTAGCATAAATAGGTATAGAATAAAATCTTTATAATTCTGTGATCTGGTCAACCTAGGTGCTTTAATTATAAAAGAATTATTATCTGTTTTCAAAAAACAGCAAGTCCGTAACGGAGGTAGAATTAGGAGCCTCTCCCTACACGACAACCACACAAAATTAGGCGTCGTAGTGTGTCAGGGAAATCGTGACAGCAAGTAGTTTGTGATGTTTGCTGCTTCTGACACCCAATTTTTTTAACACTTAGTATGTGTTTATCGCAATGCATATGGTCTGAAATTTTTATTAGAGTAAAGACATGTGTGTATCTTCTTCGTTAGCAATAGTCTCTGTGATATTCTATCCATATGGTAAATAAAAAGTCGTCCGTGACACTTAAGGAGCAGCAAAAAAACTCCACTAGTTGCGTTCCATATATTGTAGCGTGTATAAAAGAGCTTTTCTCCCAATAAGGATGTTTTTGCTCTTTTGATCTATTCAATAAAAAGCAGGGGGAGGAAAAATTTCGTGCAACGAGAAAAGTAGTCGACAAAGAAATAAAATAATAGTCCATACTGTTTCAAATATCTGCCCATACTTGCATTGAAATCAATGCAAAAAAGTGAAAATCTGTTAGTGCAAGCCGACGCGATTTTGGTTGGTTATGCGAACCTCTTTCTGGTGACGACAGAAGCTCGCACTGATTTTGTTATGGCTAGAAGAGCAAATGTGATGCCGCAGGAATCAACGGAATGGTTAGCCTTAAAGGACTTTTCGCTACATTTATTGGCGCTTGTGCACGTTAAGGATAAGTAAAATATTTGCTTTACGTTTTCTTTTAGGAAGAGAGCGGTACGGATGACGAATTGCAGATGAGTGCTGAAGTTGCGTTGGATGTATACGAAGGAAAAGTGAAGCTCGTCAACATGCCTACAATACCGTACGTTTTGTGGAGGACCTGGAAGTGCATATTTCTTCTTGGTCCTTATTTTGTTTAGCAATAAGTATTCAATTTAGCAAAGTTCCCTTTAATAGCCTTCTTATACCATCACATTAGAGGTGCAAACAGCACTTGGAAGTCGTTCGCATAAAAATGAGTGATTTCTAAGGGTTGTCCTTGATCCAATGAACGAACTACGCGAGTTACAACGACGAGATAAACTATTCTACTCTAAGGATGTTCTCTTTGGTAACTCCGTTCGTAGCATGATTAATCTTTGTGGTATGTAATTTCTCAAATTCCACCTTTCGTGGTGTCCACACGAGTAACTGAATGAGTTGGCATGACCTCTCTGAAAGACGTATTTCCAGACAGTTCCATGAACGTTGCTCCGATAAAGAGGCGAAGTAAGGGCGGGTTGGTGAAGTTTGAGGAACCCTCAATAAGATATAGCTATCGGGTAGGTTGCGCAAATTTCTCTTTTTTCAAATTTGAAATAGAGTTTCAAATTCACTAGGTTACTTGGACGGTCCGTGTTCACGAGTAGCACTGGTCTCGAGGCATTCTCTGTTCGTTCAATTCTCGATAAATCGTCGTCCATGGTGATTACTATCTTCGCATATTGTTTCGGATACTGTTTGAGGAATTTGTCTTAGTACTGGTCGAGGTTCTCATTTCAATCTTGGATATAGCCGAGCTAAGGCGCTTCCGCGTGGATTGAAGCAGAGTAGCTTCATTAATACACCCAAATGCGGCCGCCGATTTCCTTCTTTAATTGAATTTCTCCTTCATGTTATCAAATCTCATTGAACTCCCAGTCTACTCGTGCGAGGTAGTCTTTATTATCGGGAAACCATCCTGTTCGATTTGCTCATCGTCGAACCGAGGATTTCTCATTAACTCGGGTTTTTCCCGAATTATGTATAGTTCAACACCTTTTCTGTTTCAGTAAGCTCACTTATCATCTTGCCCCGCTAACACTTCTAGCGAAGATGCCGGAAAACGAAGATTTGACAGGCATTCACTATCAGTACGTATGCCCTTCTCGTACTGAATCGAATAAATTCGTTGCCCACTGCAGCGCGAGAGTAAACAGCTTTGGCAAGATCGTTGTGCAGCCCTTCTCCACGAGCATGGGAAGAGATCGACAGAGAAACTGTATTTTTTGTGATGCAGTTCTGTTGATAGTTAGCAAAGTTTTTCATGTAGGGTCCAGTCCTTGATCGACGAGCGCTGATAGATTTGCATTCCTGACCTCACTGTTAGACACTTTTTCCTTATTGACAAAAGTTAGGATAAGTGGCAGCTGAAACTCCCGATCCTGTTTGATAGACCGGTTGGGCATATGCGAAGTTTCTGAAATACGTAATAGGGTAATCTTTGTGAAGAGCTTGTAGTGTGCGTCCAGCCTGCATATGGAACGGTAATGATGAAGATCCCATCCGTCACCTTTCTTAGGCAGAATGACCGTGTGCGATATCGTTCATTAGTTTGGGATCTTTTTATTTTAAATAGTAAGGTAGTGCATGGATTATGAGAAGTACATGTATTCTACGAGTCTCAGCTCAAAAGAATTCGGCTATAAAGTTATCGGACTCTGGAAGTGGGTCTATCTTCATGTTTCTGCCGCTATTAAAACTTCTGATGGAAAGGGTTTCGGGCAGTTTTTCCAATGTGGATTTTATGGCTCAGGACGGAGGTTGTGAAACAAAAAGATTAACATAGAACCTTTCTTCATCGTGGCAGTAGATGGCAGTGATCCCATATTCGCTCATCGGGGGTAACGGCGGAACACTATAATTCGGTCATCCGGACAGGTAACCTACAGCTAGCTATGATTGTACTTGTTTAGATTTTTCTTCTTAGAAATCGACTCTTCGGTAACGCATGAAGCACTACTAAATTCCATCGAAAATTCCCTTATTATCCTAACCGAATCATATCCAATATGTAGGCTTTTTATCAAGAGATTACATCAGTTATACGGCTTTAAAGTAATTTAGAGGGCTTGGCTTTGGTATTATAATTAACTTCATTGTTCTCTTTTTTACAGCAAACGCGAAGTTGTTATTCAGTTCACCTTTACTTCCTTACAAATATAACATTCAACACAACGGTAGCTGACGTTTCAGCAGTATCGCCTTTTTCAGAGCCTGGAAGGGTCACTGGTACACAGTTATACCGAAAACTAAACAATTAGTGGGTCAAAGTGGCAAAGGCAGCAGGCTTAAATTCGTCGGTTATTTCGCACTTTAAAGTCAACAGACCAACACGCCCCGTTTTATACCTACTTATTAAAACACATAAGCTAGTATCACCTGATGATCATGCGTCAACCAATCCGTCATCATTTAAGGTTAGACCGATCACCAGCTGTGTAGACGGGCCAACGGATAGAATAACCTGGTTTTAAGTCTAATACTTACCCAGTTGCTTAACCACATTCCATCTCACCTCACAAACACTCAAATGTTCCTAGAACGTTCACGTAACGCGTCTCTTAATAACGCGTACGTGATGGAGTCCTTCGACGTTACCGTGCTGTACACCAACATATCGAATGAATCCGCAATGTAAGCCATCTTCCAACTTCTTATTGAACATGAAGAAAAAATAAATATGCATGGTTTGTCTATCCAGTAGCTAATGGCTCTCCTAAAGGAGTGACTAAACTGCTCGGTTTTCAGATGGTCTGGGAAATATTTCGCACAAATAAGTGGTTCGGCAATGGAGCAGCGACTGGTACCAAGCCTTGCCATTGTGCTCATGTCTAAGATAGAAGCCCCTGTTCTTGATCTCAGCCCACTACTGTACTGCAGGTACATAGATGATTGTTTTGTCGTCTTTTCTACGCAGGAGAAGATGGACAAATGCTTCGAATTATTGAGCGAGCAGTCTTAGTACATTAAGTTCACCCGAGAAAAACCGAAAAGAAACTGGCTTCCGTTTTTAAACGTTCACATAAACCTATCAAGTAGCGGTTACTTGACAAAGTGGTACCGAAAGCCAAGTAACAAGAACATCCTCGTTCATTTCCTTTCTTCCCACTCTTCACACACAAAGAGGACGCTTGCGAGAAACATGTTTCGAACAGTCACCTCTGTGTCCGCAACCGGGGAACTAAAGGAAGAATCGCGCAACTTGGCTCGGCAAATACCTATTTCCAATAGCTACAAAATAGTAACTCCATGAGATAAGTTTAGAAGGAGAGAGACGCACCCAAGCGAAACACTTGGCCAAAAGAAAGTCTCGTTTATGTTGCATTTTATTAGCGATGAAGTAGGCGTAGCTATTAAACGATGCTTAAGAAGGGCAGGTCTAGAGGTGTCGGTAGCGATAGTTGAAATAACACCGGCTACTCTACGTCGTCAGTTAGTTAATAGCCGCCTGTATGACCGTCTATGTGAAACAACAAATTGCGTAATTTGGCCTTACGGTAGGGAAGGTGATTGCATGAGTTCAGGTACGATATACCTGATCTCGTGTAACAATTGCGGAGATGAATTTATTGGAGAAACAGGCAGACCTTTGTGTATCCGTATAAAAGAACACCTAGATGGCAAACGAAAACTAGGACGAAGTACCCCACCAGGCACGCATAAGATACAAAAACATATCAGAGACGATTTCGAAGTAAAAGTTAATATCCTTGCCCAAGAGACTAAAACACAAGCGCGAAAACTTCTAGAGGCTTTTTGGATAAATCCCAAAGACTCTACAATGAATAGCAGAGATGAATGCCCAAAGATCATGCGCGACCTTACCCCGCATGTTTGCATCAATTTCTGATGTGGGTTGATGCAGTCATCAACCATATGCGACTATAATCAACTGTTCTAATCTTCGTCATTAAAAGTCAAAAAAACAAAAACATGAAGCATTCCTAGATTTTGATGTAAAAGTCGCTCTCATCGCACGGGAGAGTAGAACACCAACGCGCAAATTTCTCGAAGCTTTTTTAATTAAATTCCAAAAATCCGAAAATGAATAGCAGGAAAGAACGCCCTGAGATAACGCGCGATCCAGCCCTGTGTCTCAGAACTGATTTTTGATGTAGGGTGGTTCAATAATCAACCATATGCGACTCTACGCTGCTATTCTTCCTTGGTGGAAGACAGATAAAAAATGGTGGGTTTTCCGAGGAGCCGGTGATCGTGTAATTATTGTTCAGATTTTCATTTTTCTGTTGGCGTTGTAGTGTATTTGTAAGGAACTAAAGGTGTGCCGAATAACAACCTCGCAATTGCTGTAAAAAAGAGAACGACAGATTTGTAATCTAATGCCGAGGTTCACAGAAAGTCGATCCTGGAAACTGTTAATAATTAAGTCCTTTGGTTGTTGAATAAGATCAAACGAGTGGCTAAATTTGTAGTTTGAAAACGTGCAACATAAGTTCGGTCAGCAAATGGTTTTTCGGCTTTTCATGCAGATCTTTCTTCAGCGGTTTACCGTTGATCCCCATATAGAATCCTATTATTAGCTTACGAGTCATGGAGCAAAAACTACTAAGGTGACTGTCTTTTTTCCTAAATTGTGTTCCAATCCTGGAGTGGTCGTTTCACGCAGCAAGCACGTAAAATTGACTGCCCTGCGCTATGTGAAAGGAGAGTGTTGTAAAACAACACGAACACTGTTTTATTCAGCTTACGAGTGCTTCAATTCTCTATAGAAAAAGGTTTGTTCGGATGCTTAGGTCATAGAATTGTGCTAGTTTTCCAATGTAGTTAGCGCGTATCAGTAAGTAAAAAGCAACAGTTCTCCGACCACACTTTTTCCAACAATTGGTTCTTTTAATCCAATGAAGACTTGGTTTTTCCGTTTACCAATGGTGAAGAGCTATTTGGAATTTAAATAATGGTGGAGAAGACGTTGATCTGTGTTATCTACAGCCATCCTTCAAAGTACATTATTTTCTAAATGTGACCCGCTTCTACGTGTTATGAGGATCCCAGCACTTCGCCCATTGTTTCCTTTGTCTTCTGTCCACTATCAGCGAAAGTCTTTGGATTTGGATATGGGTTCACCAGCTATTTGCAAAGTTCTTAGTCCTTGTAGTCCTTGTGAACATCACGGTAGGGCGGCCGAATTGATTCCCCTTGTAGTCCTGGGTTAGTTCTTCTAGAGAATTCCTAGGTTTTCACCACAGGCAAGTGCAGCCCACCTGGATTGGAGGGAGCTCTTCATGGACAAGTCTGGTACAAATTTACCTACTTAAATGCATGATTTCGGAGGATGGTGAACCTCAGCAAAAGTCCGAGCAGCCAAAATGTGCGTATTAGAACACATTTTCAACTACCGCGCGAACACCACGTTGTACAATGTGTATTCAAGGAAACCTCTAACTTTGTATGCCTCACCATTAATAACTTGTTAAAAGATTTGGAATTGTGCTGTTCGAGTTCAATTATGTGTTTCAAACTTACTATTCTAGAGAGGCTGCTTGTTCGATATTGTAAAAGAGCCATTTATTCCCAGAAGTAAGAAATACATTTCGAGATCATCTCGCAAAAGAAAAAAGCGCAGCGGTAAAACCGAACGAAACAAGGATGAAAACAAGGATCTGCGAAGGAAAGAATCGCCAACAGACCAGGGAAAAGATCAAAAGTCTAAGATTAAAACGGGAGCTCTCGAAACTTTAAAGCATGCGGATGAACAGAGACAATATGAAGAAATGTATAATGAAAATTCAAAGCAGCAGCCGAGTTTGGCTTTGCCCAAAGAAGGTCTTATAACAAAGGAAACATAGTTAATTAGAGCTAGCACCATTCGTTGACTTCTGCTGAATTTACAAGTGTGACCATCGTTGTTTGTTTTGCTATTAATAATTAAGAAATTAATAACTCCGTTTTTTCCTCAGGCGGACAGACAGTTATGAGGATATTTAAGGATAAAGAATAAATCAGTGATGTTGTTTCTAATTGATATGCATGATACGTTTGTGCACTTTCTAGTAGATTTACTTAAGAAGTGGATGAAATTTAGCTTATGTAGCGCCTTCTAACACATTAGTGACTAATATGTTTCGCGACAAACCTGGTCAATGTGAATCATATTTGACTCACTTTTCGAATCGTTTGTTTTGCCGCGCATAGGTTTTTTGCAGGTTTGCAGTAATTTTACAACTTATCTAGCATATTTGGTGACTATTGACCGAGAAAACGTCTGTTTTACACCTAAAGTTTGCGGTAGAAAAAAAAACTTTTCTGTGTGAGATTATTGGTCCAATTTAGATATTGCAGCTGGTAAGAGCATGTCTGTTGTACTTGCGCACCGAAATCTGTGGCGTGTGGCATTTTATCGCCACAATATAACGATACATCATTAAGAGGTGCATAGATGTAATTATGGTTTACATGACCCGACGTCATATGTTGTGCGAATATCAGCACTTTTTGCGTTTAAATCGTTTGCTCGCATACATCATCCACGAAGGTCTTCCAGCTCTCCGCGTTTCGGCTTGGCTGCAGCTCGCTGTTTTTCGTTTTCTTTATAAATGGCGTTGAATGCTGGATTTTTTCATCAATTTTGGAATATTCGTGCTAGGACGTTCTCACATGAACCGGAAGGCTCAGTCCTAAACACAGCTGGCACCGAGTTCCAAACCACACAGACGGGGGAGGCGTGGCAGGTCGTTCTTTGTCTTACCAAAGCCTAAGTTGGTTGCGTTTTGCTGGCAATGAGCGGCATTACTACCACCGCGCTACCTGCTCGGTTTGTTAAACATTCTTTTAGAAGCTTCCAACGAAAAGTAGGGGCACTACCACCACCTCCATTTCCTCGGTTATTCTTTAGACAGCTAGACCCAAACGACGATTTCGATATAAAATTTCGTATATTTTCGAGCAAAACTCTCAAAGTCAACCATTATCGCGCGAAAAAGTTTAGTTCGAACCTTACAGCTGCGCAAAAATCTGGTATGCGACAGCTTCGAGAGCTAATAAAATCAAAGATTATTAGGCTATCAGTTAGTGATAAGGATGGAGAGTTTGTAGTAATTCCTCGCCAGTTAGATGTCGATATAACGGAATACATCTTGAAGACGCATGTCTTTATCGCGCATTTACTGAAAAGGAACTCAGAAGTCAAAATCGAAAACTGAACAACGAATGGGTCAAAGTGGCAAGCGCAGCAGGTTTGAAACCAGCAGACATTTCGCATCTTAAGATCGAAGTGCCGACATGTCCCGTCTTATACTTACTTATCAAAACCCATAAGTTAATATCCGCTGATGATTTGGCGTCTACCGGCCCTTCCACCTTTAAAGTTAGACCCATCATCAGCTGCGTAGACGGGCCTGCGGATAGAATTGCTTGGTTTATAAATCTAATCCTCAACCAGTTGCTTAACCACACTCCAGCTCACCTCACAAGCACCCAAATGTTCCCGGAACGTCTACGTAACGCGTCTCCTAATAACGCGTACGTGATGGAGTCTTTCGACGTTACCGCACTGTACACCAACGTATCAAATGACTCCGCAATGCAAACCATCTTCGAACTTCTTGTTGAACATGAAGGAAGAATAAATATGCATGGCTTGTCTATCCAGCAGCTAATGGCTCTCTTAAAGGAATGCCTAAACTGCTCGATTTTCAGATGGTCTGGGAAAAATTTCGCGCAAATAAGGGGGTTGGCAATGGGACAACGACTGGCACCAAGCCTTGCCATTGTGTTTATCTCTAAGATAGAAGCCCCTGTTCTTGATCTCCGGCCACTACTCTACTGCAGATATGTAGATGATTATTTTGTCGTCTTCTGTACCCAGGAAGAGATGGACAAATGCTTTGAATTATTGAACGAGCAGTCCGAGTACATAAAGTTCACCCGGGAGAAACCGAGAAAAACTGGCTTCCGTTTTTAAACGGTCACATAAACCTATCAAGTAGCGGTTACTTGACAAAGTGGTACCGAAGGCCAAGTAACAAGAACATCCTCATTCATTTCCTTCCTTCCCACCCTTTACACACAAAGAGGGCCATTGTGAGAAACATGTTTCGAAAAGCCATCTCGTTTGTCGTCTTTTTGTAAGTGTCATTGAAGTGTTTGGCCTAGTAGATTGCATATCAGTATGGCCTTCCAGGCTCTGAAGAAGGGGATACTGCCGAAACGTCAGTTAGTGTTGTATTGCATTGTGTTTTTCTATGGAAGTAAATGTATGCTGTTTAAAAACCTCGCAATTGCTAAACAAGAAAACGACGCATTTATATTCCAATGCCCAAGTCAACAGAAAGTCGGCCATGCAAATCCAAATAGATTACCTTTTAGACTTATGCATCTGAACGTTTCAAAAATTAACTTCAATGATGCTGGGATATTTGCAAAACTCCGCACCGCAGGTGTATGCGGTGGGGAACGAACGCGCTATTGTCTTTCCAGGGAGTAGCGCGTGCACCACCACACCACGCGGGTCCTTCGTTTCGCTTGTCTCTCAGCTAATACTATCGATCTTTTGCCATCAGCAATCCCGTCAGCGGGGTTGATCTGGGGGTCCAAATCGGCAACGAACCCAGTTAAGCTGAGACCGCAGTTATAATCACAATTTTAACTTATTATTTACTGCCTACTATTTTTAACGGTAGGGTATACATTGTAAAATATGACTTCAATGACGCTGAGATATATTCTAAAAATTGTTAAAGCAGGATGTATTGGCGGAATTCTTTTCTTTCCCTAAAAGACAGCAAGCACAGGTGTTTTCGCTAGGCTAGGTCTGCGAACCCTTACGCAATTCGTGCTAACAGGTTCAACTGGTGAGTAGACTGCTGTGTTTTCCTTTAAAAGTAAATCATCAGATTGCGAAACTTGTTTTTGGTAGCAATACTGTACCCGTATAGCTTAACGCTTGATATTTTGATATCTTTAACGCATGTTATTTCTTCTTCCATTTCCAGTTGGTGCAATGAATATGACTCTACTGTGGAATGGTTAGAAATTAAAGAAAAAAAGATAAAGCTCTCGACGTTGATCAGTCTCTATGGGATACGCCATGCATTCGACTTCGTTAAACATCGTTTGGAGGTGATTGGGTGCATATCTGGCCTTCACAATGACTCGTGACTACCTACCAGTGCTGCTATCCTCTCAGAGAAGTCTGGTACCAACTCGCCGACCCCGGATGGGTGGAAGGCTTGGTGGGCGAGGAACGCGGCGATCGATTCCAGGGGCGTGTGTTGCAGGGTGCCTCCAACCACTGCTCAACACGCAGTCAGGGTAGAAATTAATATACAGAAATACCTGCTAGAAGTTAAGAGCGTGTGGTTGGAGTGGACGAGTTTTTTTGCCCTCCTACAAGGGTTAGAAATGTTCACAAAGTATAGAACGCTATATAGAAGTTCGCAAAATACACATAGGAAGCACAGACCACTGAATTTCCCATCTCTTTCTTGTCTATAGCTATTTGTTCTTCAGATGTATTTCGTATTCTAGCGATGAGTGGTACCAATGATTGCATCAGTTTATTCTTGATGAGCAGTAAGTAGAAAATGGCACTTTAACTCGCCCTCCACTGACGTTATTGAAACACATACCGTTTATATGTATTCTTTCTTTGATGAGCTTACACGAGGTTGATAATGATATTTATTTTCGGCTAACGTTTCGACGTCTTCGTCTTCCTCAGAACCAATGATCCGAGTCGATGGTCCACGCTTGTTATTCGTCTCGACGTGGCAGCTTCGTCTTCGTGTCGAGTCAGGTCTTCTTCAGAGAGTCATCTCCTTGAATGAGGCATCCTCACTCAGTGATGCCCTTTCATGCAGGTTGCTGATGGTGGGTAGCTGTGATTGTCCGGTGATAGTGTGTTAATAACTTGTTTTTTCCCGGACAATTAAACCTGCAGAAGGTGTTATTAACATGAACATACCGTTCAGTTTTAATTGTTTTAAAAATCGAAGAAATATTAGGGTTCTGTTTTTAACCATTCACATTAAGCTAGCCAAAAGCGGATGCATCACAGAATGGTACTGAAAGCCAAATGACAAAATCATAGTGGTACATTATCTCTGCCGATTTGGGCCCCCCAGATCAATCCCGCTGACGGGTGATTGTTGATGGCAAAAGATCGATAGAACTAGCTGAGAGACAGGCGAAACGAAGGACCGGCGTGGTGTGGTGGTGGACGCGCTACTCCCCGGAAAGGACAATAGCGCGTTCGTTCCCCACTGCATACACCTGCGGTCCGGAGTTTTGCAAATATCTCAGCATCACTGAAGTTATATTTCACAAAGGAAAAATAGTTGAAAAAAGTACCAAACCATAGGAACAACCAGACAACCTTAATGTAGAGTGTAACACAGTGATTAAACTAATTGAACTAACAATGTAAACAATTGTTTGGAAGACATTTACTATTCAAAGAATCCTCAAGCATACTGCAATAAATTTGGAATTTGCTCAGTGTCATAACTGGTATCAACTACTTGTATCTATGACCTTTTTCTCTCTTAGAATCTAAGAAGATATGCGCTAAGATGAGGGGTGCTTTCCACATTTGCGTACAACTGCATCCCGCCGTCCAGCAGGGTTCCGCTCACCTGCAGTCGATCACGTCGGGGTGTCGGCATCAGTTTGTGATTTCTCATCTTCACATCTCTCAGGTTTTGTTCTCGATACAGAAGTCTTGCCGAGAAAGCGAGTGCCTTGGAGAGCAACGTAGCTCCACCGGTGTACAACATTCGCTACACTCCTTCTGTAAGGAAACAATGAAACACAGAAATTTAGCAGTTTGTCAATTTGAAGATATTGACTTTGAACGTTTTTCAATGTGTAGTACTTGTCGAATCCAAATACACTTGGCTGGAGTGAGCACTGTACACGAACAATTCGAGACCTTCCTGGGGGAATGTCGACGTCATCGAGTACATTGACTATGTTCAATTTCACCTGAAAGTTGATATGAATCACTCTGTCTTCTCAGAGAAACTTGTTTAAAATTGTGCGATCTATAGAATTGAAAATCTCTTGCGCGCCAGATTAATACTTATTTTATAAAAGAAATTACATTCGCCGGAAAAATACTAGTCAAACAGAATCAGCTATCGACAATAACTAAGTCCGCACCTTCAGTCGATGACGCATCTCAACGTTAGACCTGACGAAAGAGGTCTGCTCCGATGTTTTAGACGCTTGAGATGAAGTGATCTAAACATAGAGACCAAAAAACTTCTATTAGTATTTCAAAATTCCTGTCTACCACAAGCAATAACACAAGACTGTCACAGCAAAGGACATGCAGGCATAAGCCATACAACGTCACTTGTACGACAAAAATTCTGGATTCCCAAATTGCGTTCACAAGTAACACGTATTCTCAAGCATTGCATACAGTACCAAAGGTTCAACAGTCTTCCTTTAAAATACGTCGAACAAGATGGCCTACCCCAAAAAAGTCTTGAGGTCACGACCACACGTTGGTCTAGACTACTTTGGTCCAATAACAATCATTCAACTAGACTCCACTGAAGGCAAGTGTTATGGAGCTATAATAACGTGCATGGCAACGAGATTTAAACACCGCGATATCGTCTCCCTCACGACCATGGCATTCTTAACGTTTCTACGCCGTTTGGAAAAAGAAAAATGCCTAAAACAATTACAAGTGATAACGCTCCAACTTTCATTCTTGTACATGCAGTCTATCCAGAAAGATCGAGCAATAATGCGAACTTTCAGTAATCGAGAAATGCAGTGGAGATACAGCACCCCATTTGCTGCTCCCTCTATAGGACCGTCGGAACAGCAAAACTCTCAATGGAGCATTTAACAACAGTTGTAATCGAAATTGAGTTTCTGCTTAATAAAAGACCGCTCTTGTATATGGAATCACAGCCAGCACAAGAGGTAGTACTCAGACCTATCGACTTCCTTCAGAGTGAAATCATCTCAAACAACGCGGATATGATGACGATTATAGCCATACAAGACAAATCAGACGAAAGACTGCCGAAAGTACTCGGAATTCCATGGAATACATATTCCGACTATCTAGATCTGCCATACATTCAACGCACTCTATAATCGTATAAAATGTCTACACTACAAAAATAACAACAACAACAAAAGCCATGGCGAAATTAACAAAGCTGGGTTGGAGTGCAGATAAACATTATCTAATAGAAAATAATATTCTTCGCAGTAACTTTACTCTATATGTCTTCTCACAGTGACTCACAGGGGCTTATTCGTATATGACCTAAAGAATTAGCTAGGGATTAGTTTTCCTATAGGGATAATCCTACTAAGGAATGTTTGAAACTGGAAATATGGATAACTACCCCTGCTTTTCGGCCAAAACCCTACAGATTTCAAAGAGGAGAAATGGTCATGCCATATCTGATTCGTCGTTGTTTGTCAGTCTTTTCCAAACATTTATATTTCCTCACCATGAGTTCATGATGATCGCAGAGGAAAACGTTAGGAGGGTACATCAGTTGGGATACAAATTTCCATCCTTAATCCGTACTCGTACTACCAGTTATTTTCGTCGCATGTGCAAGAAAGTTATCATAGAGGATGGAAACAGATAGCGTTCGTCGTTGTCAATTAATCCCTTAGGAATGCGTTGTAGTACGAATGAGTGCACATTTAACCTATGCAGTGATTTATTGGATCATATCACTATATCGAGTCAGTGTTTTTCGATTCGAAGGAATGTACGATCTAGTTGGTCCCGTACGCGACCTCAAGCCAAGCACTGTTTGTTTACCGCATTGTACCTTTGACCAGGCGCTACAAGTGCCATGTCAGAGCGCGGTTATACATAACGAAAGCATTGTTGCGTTCGAGAAGCTATTTTTAAATGAAGTTGACATTTCATAGTAAAAAAATTTGTTCCTAACCTCGCTAGGGATGGAAAAAACGTTCTTTTCGTGGAAGGCCGGTTTCATTTCATGTGATAGCAATATTCCTTGCTGAAGCCACGACAAACTAGTTGTTATCGCTGATAAAGCTTCCTTTATAGGATTCTTTCTGTGCAAAGCACTTCACGATCATCTATTTGTCAAAGTCACTAAGTAATATGGAATAGCTTCCAACAAGCATTGTAATCCGGAAGGTTTTCATTGGCCCAATGAATTATTCTCGGTCTCTCCAATATTCTGGCGCACAGTGCTCCTTCATCCGCATTTGTCTAATGAAGCATTTTAGAACCTGGCTGCCAAATTTTGTTTCCAACTGGACCTTAAGTCGGAGCACTCAACATTTAATTCCAATTCCTCTGTATTCTTTTATTGCATACAAATGTTAAACCGGGTTTTAGAAAGAAATAAAATGTATAAAAGTGTACCAGCTGTATAAAAGTAGACCACCACCTCTCTTGTTGTTGCCTTGTTGAAGACATCGATTTTGGCTTACAACACTAGACAACTTGAAACTAGCTGTGCCAGCTAGTGGGATTAATAGTTGCTCACCGCTTCAAAGCTGAAGATTCCAATACATCTTGAACTATCCACCAAAAATGGAAGGTCAACTGGAGGAATATGTCGGCTTGGATAATTCGGTGAGAGGTGCTCTGCAATCAGCTTTGAAAAGAAGGATCTGTTTCGTCGAATTTATGCAACCGACGTAAACATTTGACCAAAGTTGCTCCAAATCGCTGCATCTTACTAATTCGCGCTAAAAGTCGAGAAAAAAAAGAGAAAAGCTTGAAGGTTTAACAATGTAAGTGCTTAAGGCCGTTACTATATTGCAAGAATAGTTAAGAAGAGCACAGAATTATGTAATCTTCCAGAATTTCTTGGATATTAAACGAATATTTACCGTGCCCTGTCCATATAAAATTTTAGGGCATTGTACTTCACTGTACTTAAAAATTAAACCTCCCAACGGTTTACCTCCTCATCGTTGCTAGGAGGTGTTTCTGGGTGTCCGACTGCGATGTACAGTGGAGGATTCATCCACCTGGCAGGGTCTCCCAACTGAGAATGAGTCCGGCGTTTCCATCAGGAAGCTTAGCTAAGAGTAAACCAATACCAGGATCCACCGCCATCCTGGTCTTGTGGTGGTGAAGACGTGGGGCAGACTTTGGCCAGGATGACCGCGAGATTCCAGGGAACGACAGTGGCTTAGCCAGCAAATCTATGAAAAATGAAAGTTATGCTGTGGCTCGCACAACCAGTGAGG